TGGCCACACACACACACACACACACACACACACACACACACAAATAAAATTTAAAAAAAAAAAGAACAAACAAAAAAACAAAAGTTTCAAGTCTTAGAACACATAGATGTCGTAATATATAATTCTGATGTTTATGTATGGCATACTAAGAGATTTATAACAAGATGGTAATTAAAGTATTAATACAAGATTATCTTCATATGTTTCAGTAGTATTTGTTCTTGTGTACAACTATAAATGCCACATATTTCTATAGTTGATATTATTGAAAAATGCTTGTCTCTTCCTTCTCTTTTCTCTCTCTCTCTCTCTCTCTCTCTCTCTCTCTCTCTCTCTCTCTCTCTCTCTCTCTTTCAAGACAGGTATCACTATGGAGTCCAGACTGGCCTTGAACTCATGGTGATCCTCCTGCCACAGCCTTCCTAACGCTGGGATTATAGGCATGTGCCACCACACCCAGTTTGTTTTTTTGTTTGTTTGTGACAGGGTCTAAGTATGCAGTCCAGCCTGCCCTTGAACTCACTAGATAAGCAAGGGTGGCCTCGAACTCTCAGCTATCCTCCATCAGCCTGCTGAGTGCTGGGATTACAGGCTTGTAAAGTAATTGGTCACACTTTTTAGTGGTTTGAAATTTCACATTTTCCTTTTGCTTATTGAATCCTTTGGCACGTATATATTCAACAAGTGTGCTTTCCATACCTACCGTTTAACTGGCACTGTGAACTTCAGAATTTCAGTAAGCAAAACAAAAACCCTGCCTTCAAAGAACCTACATATCAGAGCAGATAAAAGTATGGAAATTCAAAAAAAGTATGGAAATGGTAACATTTGTTTACAGTTAAGTGCTGTTTGGGGAGCTCTCTGGGTGATGGAAATATTCCTTATCCTGTTAGGGTAGTAGTTACATAAGGCAGAATGCATTAAAATGCTTCAAAAGGGCACATTTTATTCTATGTCAGGTACAACTAAATAGTTTTGTCTGTTTAAATAAAAAGATAAAAGGAAAAAGAAAAAGGAACCTCACCTACCTTCTCATTCCTTACTGCCAAATGGTAACCACTGTTAACACTTCTGGTCCTTCCATACCTTTTCAAAAATAAATGGTGCTTAAATTAGCACTTTCCCCCTAAACTCTAGACTTCTCCCTTTGCTTCTTTGATCGCTAGCTCATCTTATTCAGAGTTCATTTGTTCATCAAGTGCACACTCTGTACCAAGCTGGGGCTACACCAGCAGGACATAATCCTGCCCTCAAAGTTTATAGTCTTGTTGTTGTTGTTGTTGTTGTTGTTGTTGTTGTTATTTTTGGCGGAACCAGGGATTGAACTCAGGCCCTTGTACTTGCCAGGCAAGCGCTTATTCTGCTGAGCTATCTCCTCTACCCCAAAGTTTATAGTCTTGAAGCTCAGCATGGTCTTGCATGCCTGTAATCTCAGCACTCAGGAAGCTAAGGCCAGAGTATTGTTGCAAGTTTGTGCTGCTGACCTGGACTACATAGTGAGTTCAAGACCAGCCTGAACTGCAAAGTGAGGCCCTGTCTCAAAACAAAAACAAAAGTTTATAGCCTCCTGTAGGATGCAGAGAAGTGAAATGGCAGTCAAAAATACTCAGGAGCCCCCCTGTCCCCATGGGGGACCTGGGGAAGGCAAGAGTGAGGTTCAGAAGGCTTCCTGGAAAAAAGTGACATATAATCTCAAGATCTGAAAGCTAAAATAAACCAGATACACTATACACAGTCAGGAAGGAATACAAAGATCAGATTTGGGGCTGACCATGTAGCTCAGCAGATTAAAGTGCTTGCAAGCAGGCCCAGGGGCCAGGGGCGCGCTGAGATGGCAATTGCGAATGGGCATGGTGGCATGCCCCTGTGATCCCAACTCTTGCTAGGCTGTAAACAGGAGAATCACTGGGAGTCCAATCTAGTAGTGAGACCTTGAGCACCCTGTAGACCCTTCCCTAAAATACAAAAAAAAAAAAAAAAAAAAAAAAAAAAAAAAATCAGATGTGCTCTTAAAACCTAAATAACTAGAAAACTATGCAAAAATATGATCCATATTTTCAGACATTGGACAATAGTTAGCTTAGGACTCTAAGCCAGAGAGAAGGGAAACAGAAGTAAGTCCTATAACTACCCCAGGTTTCTTCCCCAAAGCAATTCTAATTGACAGAGCAGAGATTTTTTTTAAAAAAATAGTACTACTAGATGGATGTGGTGGTGCACGCCTATAATCCCAGCACTCAGGAGGCTGAGGCAGGAGGATCATTACCAGTTCAAGACCAGCCTAGGGTTCAAA